CATATGTAAACAGCACTTTGATTACTACATAGTATACTCCTGTTGCTACCAGATTTTACCAGAAGAAAAATATTATTTCCACATTCTCTTATGAAAAACTATAGAGATAATGACCATTGATGAGTAGTGACTTTCAGGGTGACCTCTGGAACTTTCATCTGAAAGTATTTGAACTTTACATCTTCAAAATCCTTAACCATCTTAGAACCTGCACCATCATCGTTTGTTGTAGGTTAAGAGCATTTTGTAGTGTTGTTGTTGTTGTTAAATACTGTCCAGTCAGTTCTAATCCATAGTGACCCTGTATAGAGCTTGACCTTGCAGTTCAAATGACTTTGCAGTCCGGAACATTAGCCCACAATGCCACACCAGGACTCTGGTGTTGTTGATACAGCCTTATAATTTACAGCAGCTTTTACTAATTAAAATTGCAAGCATAATTGCTATCCATAATACTTATTATTAGTTTGCATTCGTAAAGCTCAAAATTCACTTCATCCTTTGAAGTAGTGAGTAATTAGTTTCTTTGGGTCTATAGCTTTATCATCCCTTTTATGATCCATTGGAAACAACCAACCAACCTCCCATAAGACTGCTTTAAGAAGCTGAAAATATATTGTCCATCTAGTGCAATGAGGCAAATACAACGTGGAAAGATACGGCTTTTTTTTTGGTTTTAATAGCAAATTTATTCATGCATTTACATGACAAAACTATTGAATAACTAATTCTGGTGTTGCACTGTAGAATCAGCACTGGACTGTGAACCACAAGGTTCACAAGGTCAGCAGTTCAAGCCTTGGAAAACCTATACAGGAAACCCTATACAACCCTATGTGAGTTGTAACTAAAGAGCTCTGGTACCGTAGTGGTTATGAGTCAGGCTGCTTAATTCAAGGTCAGCAGTTTGAAACTACCAGCTGTTCTGCGAGAGAAAGATGAGCACCCTCAGAAACCACAGAGTCGCTATGGGTCGGAACCGACTCCACAGTACAACACCACAGCAGTTGACTCAAGCCAGCTCAGACTCAACCAGCATTCAAGACCCACTGCAAGTTTATGAAAAATTCCCGTGGCAATGGGAAAGCGAGAGACAAAGCCATCCACCAAGCCAACCTTCAACATCATGAGTCAGAACTGACTCGATGGCACTTTAACAACAACAAAAACATAAACTAGGAATCTTAGGGAGCCAAAGATGGATCATTCAGTAAAGAATTTTTGTCATCAATGACCTTGAGGTTTTGGAACGGAAATCTCTCTCACACACACCAAAACATGATGGTGCATTTCAGATTTCTTATACCTGTGATATAAGGTAAAATGACAACGACCTCTGGAAGAACAAGCTATGCCTATTTTCTATTGTATAATCAGCAATAAACATGTTGTTGTTAAGTGCCATCGAGTCGGTTCTGAGCCAGAGTGACCCTGTATAGGATTTTCTGGGAGTGATTGGTGAGCTTGAACTGATGACCTTGTGGCTTAAACTGACTTTACAGTACAGTACATTAACCCACAGCGCCACACCAGGGCTCCACACCTACCATGTTGTTATGTGCTGTGGAGACGGTTCTGACTCATAGTGACCCTATACAGGGTTTCTGAGGCTGTAAATCTTTACGGGAGCAGAAAGCCTCATCTTTCTCCTGTGGAACAGCTGGTAGTTTCCAACTGCTGACCCTGAGGTTCGCAGCCCAATTTGTAACCACTATGCTACCAGAGCTCCTTGCCGCACCTACCATAGTGCCTTAAAAATAGAAGGTTTAATAAATATTTTCTGAATGAATTCATGAATGGGTACTTGAATGAATTCATTTCTATTATTTCCAAGATGCATCAGTGGAAAATTAATTAGAAAAATAAACAACACAAAGTTTGCTATCATACATTGTGGGAATTTTTTCATGATATGACTTGTTTTCATTGTTTCCAGGTCACTCAGCCGGCATGGCTGTCTCTCTATCACCCAACCTGGGAACCAACTATGCCCCAGATGAAATCCAGCACCCATATATTAAATTTTCAGAATGGAAGTTTAAGCTCTTCAGGGTGAGATCCTTTGAAAAGACATCCGAAGAAGCTCAAACAGAAAAGAAGGATTCCTCAGAGGGGCGAGCCTCTCTGGAGCAGTCTCCAGCAGTTCTGGATAAGGCTGAAGGTCAGAAGCCAGCCCTGACTGAAACAGCATTCAAGACCCACTGCAAGTTTGTGAAAAATTCCCGTGGCAATGGGAAAGCAAGAGACAAAGCCATCCACCAAGCCAACCTTCAACATCTATGCCGCATTTGTGGAAATTCTTTCCAAACCGATGTGCAGAACAAGAGATACCCAGTCCATGGACCTGTGGATGGTAAAACCCAGGGCCTTTTACGAAAGAAAGAGAAGAGGGTCACTTCCTGGCCGGACCTTATTGCCAAGGTTTTCCAGATTGATGTAAAGGCAGATGTTGACTCGATCCACCCTACTGAGTTCTGCCATAACTGCTGGCGCATCATGTACAGGAAGTTTAGCCATGCCCCATGTGACGCTTACTTCCCCAGGAATGCGACCATGGAGTGGCACCCCCACACACCATCCTGTGACATCTGCCATGCTGCCCGTCGGGGACTTAAGAGGAAGAATCAGCAGCCAAATCTGCAGCGCAGCAAAAAACTCAAAACTGTGGTGGCTGACAGAGCGAGGCAAGCCTGCCACTGCAAGAGAAAAGCTCAGACAAGGGTCAACAACAAGGACGTCATGAAGAAGATTGCCAACTGCAGTAAGATGCATCTTAGCACCAAGCTCCTGGCGGTGGATTACCCAGTGCACTTTGTGAAATCTATCTCCTGTCAGATTTGTGAACACATTCTGACAGACCCTGTGGAGACCAGCTGTAAGCATGTCTTTTGCAGGGTCTGTATCCTTAGATGCCTCAAAGTCATGGGCAACTACTGTCCCTCTTGTCGATATCCCTGCTTCCCAACTGACATAGAGAGCCCGGTGAAGTCCTTTCTGAGCATCTTAAACTCCCTGATGGTGATATGTCCAGCAAAAGAATGCAATGAAGAGGTCAGTTTGGAAAAATATAATCATCATGTCTCAAGCCACAGGGAATCAAAAGAGACTTTTGTGCATATTAATAAAGGGGGCCGACCTCGCCAGCATCTCCTGTCCCTGACCCGGAGAGCTCAGAAGCACCGTCTGAGGGAGCTCAAGCTGCAAGTCAAGGCTTTTGCTGACAAAGAAGAAGGTGGAGATGTGAAATCCGTGTGCCTGACCTTGTTCTTGCTGGCACTGAGGGCGAGGAATGAGCACAGACAAGCTGATGAGCTGGAAGCCATCATGCAGGGCCGTGGGTCTGGCCTGCAGCCAGCTGTCTGCTTGGCCATTCGCGTTAACACCTTCCTCAGCTGCAGCCAGTACCACAAGATGTACAGGACTGTGAAAGCCATCACAGGGAGGCAGATTTTTCAGCCTTTGCATGCTCTTCGGAATGCTGAGAAGATCCTTCTTCCGGGCTACCATCCCTTTGAGTGGCAGCCACCTTTGAAGAATGTGTCTTCCAGCACTGATGTTGGCATTATTGATGGACTGTCTGGACTGTCCTCCTCTGTGGATGATTACCCAGTGGACACCATTGCAAAGAGGTTCCGCTATGACTCAGCATTGGTATCTGCTTTGATGGATATGGAAGAAAACATCTTGGAAGGCATGAAATCCCAAGACCTTGATGACTACCTGAATGGTCCCTTCACCGTAGTGGTGAAGGAGTCTTGTGATGGAATGGGAGATGTGAGCGAGAAACACGGGAGTGGACCAGCAGTTCCAGAAAAGGCCGTTCGTTTTTCCTTCACAATCATGTATATTACTATAGCACGTGGCTCGCAGAACGTGAAGGTGTTCGAGGAAGCCAAACCTAACTCTGAACTGTGTTGCAAGCCATTATGCCTTATGTTGGCAGATGAGTCTGACCATGAGACCTTAACTGCCATCCTGAGTCCTCTCATTGCCGAGAGGGAGGCCATGAAGAGCAGCGAATTAATGCTGGAAATGGGAGGTGTCCTTAGGACTTTCAAGTTCATCTTTAGGGGCACTGGGTATGATGAAAAACTTGTCCGGGAAGTAGAAGGCCTTGAAGCTTCCGGTTCAGTCTACATTTGTACCCTTTGTGATGCCACCCGTCTGGAAGCGTCTCAAAATCTTGTTTTCCACTCCATTACCAGAAGCCACACTGAGAACCTGGAGCGCTATGAGGTCTGGCGTTCTAATCCCTATCATGAGTCTGCGGAAGAATTGCGGGACCGGGTGAAAGGGGTCTCGGCCAAGCCTTTCATTGAGACGGTCCCTTCCATAGATGCACTTCACTGTGACATTGGCAACGCGGCTGAGTTCTACAAGATCTTCCAGCTGGAGATAGGTGAGGTGTATAAGAATCCCAATGCTTCCAAAGAGGAAAGGAAAAGATGGCAGGCCACCTTAGATAAACATCTCCGGAAGAAGATGAATCTAAAGCCAATCATGCGGATGAATGGTAACTTTGCTAGGAAGCTCATGACCCAAGAGACTGTTGAAGCAGTTTGCGAATTGATTCCCTCTGAGGAGAGACACGAGGCCCTGAGGGAACTGATGGACCTTTACCTGAAGATGAAACCTGTTTGGAGATCATCATGCCCTGCTAAAGAGTGCCCAGAATCTCTGTGCCAGTATAGTTTCAACTCACAGCGGTTTGCTGAGCTCCTTTCTACCAAGTTCAAGTATAGATACGAGGGCAAAATCACCAATTATTTTCACAAAACACTGGCCCATGTCCCTGAAATTATTGAGAGGGATGGTTCCATTGGGGCGTGGGCAAGTGAAGGAAATGAGTCTGGCAACAAACTGTTCAGGCGCTTCCGGAAAATGAACGCCAGGCAGTCCAAATGCTACGAAATGGAAGACGTCCTGAAACATCACTGGTTGTATACTTCCAAATACCTCCAGAAGTTCATGAATGCTCATAATGCATTAAAAAATGTTGGGTTTACCATGAACTCGCAGGCAAGCTTAGAGGACCCGCTAGGCCTAGAGGACTCTCTGGAAACTCAAGATTCAATGGAATTTTAAGCAGGGCAATCTCTTATATGAGTTGGTTTTGCAAATGATATTTCCTCTGGGTTGCACGGAGGCCTCCTTCTTGTACCCTTCATTACTGTATGTGGGGGTTCACTACCCAAGAGGTAGCGGAATGGAGTGAGAGGCCGCAGATTCTGAAACCGTGTCAGTATTAGGTAACTGATGAGCTGATCACTTGAGCCATTTCAGTGAGTTCAGAGCAGCAGCAGGAGAAATCAGTTATTTGAAAGTTCAGTAACTCCGAGCGGGAGTAACTGCAGGGGACCAGAGATGAACAGAAATGTGTGTGCAGGTGACTGAGTTAACATGGAAATCAAAGCCAAGATTGTCAAAGGGGGACAGTCAGTGAGGCCAGGGAAGGCATTCGTTTTGTGGTTTTCATTTTTTCCCCTCAGTTTATTATAATTTGTATTACGATATATAGTAAGTTTTATTTCCTTATTATCTTATTTCATTTTGCAGATTTCCTTATTTTATAAATCCCATAGATCTTGGCTTATTCCACACAATTCAAGAGAGCTTTTCAGATGTCTAATGATATCTCACATTTGTATGGCATGTTGATCTTTACAAAGTGCTCTCTTTGGTGCATTTATGCAGCAATATCCTATATGGGAATTCTTATGTGGCACTGCAGTATTAGCACTGGACTGCAAAGCGTAAGATCAGTGGTTCAAACCCACCAGCCACTCCTCAGAAACCCTATACAAGGTCACTATAAGTTGGAACCAACTTGATGACACTTAACAACAACATCCTATATTAGGAAACTTTTTGTGAAGATGAGTCAATTTTTTAGCCTTATATAATGTCTTTTTGTAACTTAGGAGTTTAGAAGGTCATCTGCGAACATGAGTAGTTCAATAATGAAACCAGAACAACACAGTTGTTAGCTACAATTAGTTATTAAATTTTCAGATAATGCATTTTACTTGACTATACCATCTCAAAATTATGTTGTTGTTGAGGTCTTTAAAATTCAAGTTTGATCACTGCATCGAAACAGATTTATTGTTTTACTGACAATTTTCAGTCAGATGATTTTCTCCATATGAGGAAATCCTCACAATTCAGATTTCCTTAGATTTTCCTACATTCAGATAGTCCTTTACTAGGCAATGTGTTCTTCTTTACAGTGATCAGCTCACTTTCATTGTAATCAAATTTGTACAGCGTGTTAAGTTTAGACGAAGACTACTTAGAGTATGGTAGAAAGGTGAACTAACAGGTATACAGTGAATTTTTTAAAATACCACTTTTGAAATGTTTTCATACTCATGTTGTCTCATTTTTCTGTACAGCTCCTCTGTGGAGGCAGACATTGTTATTGTTATTGTTAAATGATTTGTCCCAAATTACAAGGGTAATGAAGTCCTGGTGTGGTACTGTAGGGTAACTGCAAGGTCGGTGGTTCAGACCCATCAGCCGCTCTTCCAAAACCCTATACAGGGTCCTTATGAGTTGGAACCAACTCAATAATACAAAACAACAACAGGGGTAATATGAATGCCTGATCTGAATTTGAACTCAGATCTTTTGCCTCTAAATTCTATGTTTTCTACATTATAAAAAAAATAACCATTATCTTTGTTTAAAAGTCTTAAGTGTTGGGTTGCTAACTGAAAGGTTGACCTTTAGAACCCACCAGCTGCTCCTTGTGAGAAAAGTGACAGTCTACTTCTGTAAAGATTTATATCCTTGGAAATTCCATGGACCAGTCCAACTCTATCCTTCTCTAGGGTCGCTATGAGTCAGAATCGACTGGTTGGCAATGGGTTTGGTTTTTTGTTTTGTTCACAAAGTAGGTTAAAGATTTATTTAGGATTCACAGTGAATTACAATAATCCATAACCTTGGGATTACCTTTTTTGGGGAAGGAGAAGGAGAACATATTTGTAAATCATTTGCATGCTTTGGATCTTTGGTATGAGAAAGCAGTACTAAAGCTCCATAGAGCCCCAAAGACTCGGATGGCTCCAGTTACTTGCAAAGTATTGTGTGTATCCTTAGGAATTTGGGATTTGCCAGTTGGCGGCAATTTAGAGCAGGCATGGGATTTGATATGCTAGTGAGTTATAATGATACGTTAGTGTTAATTAGTTTTTTCTTTCTTTGATTTTATTGGTCATAATTGCCAGTTTTCATACACAGTATATCACAGAGCTTTGCAATTTGGTTGTCAAACATGCACCAATCAGTGACATTACCCTAAATGGTGTGCACTTGGTGTTTTTGAAGGGATTGAACCCAGTATTTTCCATCAGGGAAATACAACTGTTCTCCCTGTTTTTGTATACAGAATACTAAAGAAATTTATAATTCAGTTATTAAGACCATATACATATTTTAATGCATTTTTCCCCTGGAAAAGTCTTCCTTTTGTATTTTGAAAACTAATGTGTTTTAAAGCTACTCCTTCCCTTCATCATGCTTAATCCTTCTAGTATGTCTATGCACTAATACACACCTAAATTTATGTCATTTTCCTACACCCTGAAGCATGCTAGCGTTGGCTTGTAGATTTCCCCTGCCTCATTTCCACTCTGTTACTTGATTGGCAGGACTGTAAATACTTTCCAATATTAAATTCCCCTTTCCTAGCATCGTAGGAACTATTTTGAACGCATGTGACTAACAGTATGATTTATTGCATAACCTTCCAATAATTCCTTGATCAGATCACATTTTGATAAACCCTAGAAACACCTGGCTGCAGGGATCTCAAGATGTAGAAATGCTACCTCTGGTTGTTTTTGTCCTCTTTATTGAGATTGCAATATCCTAGACCTGGTTTTATACTCGAGTCTTATATTTAGCAATGCCCATTGTAAATGCCGTCAAATACTCCAGGGAAATTCACCACACTGAATGGACTATAT